AGTCAGACCATTAAGTCTGGTCTTTTTACTAGAATTTGAGTTCTGCACCCCACCTTTCTCCTGCTCCATCAGGGACTCTCTGTTGTGTTCCCTCTCAGGGTGGTCACTGGTGGTAGGTGGGCACCATCTAGTTCTTCTGGTCTCAGGATGATGCAGTTTCTGGTTTATGTGGCCTTTTCTGAAAACAGATGGTCTTAAGTGCAGTTCGTTATAACTAGAATAAGTCATAAGTCAGGGACCTGCTGTATTTCTTTTGGTTTAGAGGTGCTGTGTATGAGGCACACTTAACCAAGAAAATTTGGTAAATTCTACACTAAGTCTTGCACATTCATCCTTCCCCATGCCCTAATCTCTAAGCCCACACATAGGTTTCTATCTAGCACTTAGTGAAAACCAACCAGAGTAGTGAAAAACTTTGCTTGAGGTGCAGAAATCAGGTCATGGTACAGAATGAGAATTTCTATCAAGTTAATTTAATTAACTTTGATCTAGAGCATTAAAAAATGTACTCCTCAATGATCGTCCCTCTCCACTGGCAACATAGCACCCAGTCTAGAGTAGCCTCTCAGGGAAGATGTGTACTGAATTCAAGAGACCCATGAACCTCAGCTCATTCAACCAGTTTGTACTTCTGATGGTTGGTTATGTAAAGTAATCCAGTACTATCTTAAGACTCTGCCTCCCTCCCTCCCTCCCTTTATTTTTCTCCTCCAAAACAAAACAAAGTTTCAATGCTAAATATCCTGTTTGTCACATGAAGGAACATAATGCATTTGTACTTTCCATTTCTGGTTGCCTAAGATGCAGGAAATGCCACAAGAAGTCTTTGCTATTATGGGATTAAAAGCTGCATTTTCCCTTTTGAGAGTGAAGAATGTGTCAAGGAAAGGGAAAGATAAGGAAAATTTCTTCATTATTTCCTCCTTTTAAATTGGCCAGGCAATATTAATAATTTCTGGAACCGTCTGATTATCTTTATGTAAATAAATATTAATAACTTATTTATTGA